CCTTCTCCCTCTCCCTCTCTCTCTCTCTCTCTCTTCACACAAAATGTTACTACCAAGTCCCAGGAAACTGACAAAAATAACATTAAAACTCAGTGCAAAAGAATTCCATTTCAAAATTCCATCCATGAAAATCTAAGATTGGTCTCATTCAATCAACTGCAAATTTCCCTTTCTGTTTATTAAGTGTAATAAACATCATCTTACCATTATCTGTAGAATGAAATCAGCAACGTGTTGCTTCCTGCAGTCACCAAATCAAGAGTTTTCTCTCTTTCTAGTAACTTCCTTTCACCAGCAAGATTAGGAAGAAAATAAATCTTTGAGTATGTGCCTCAATAGTACAGACCACAAGACTATGAAACTAGCTCTTAGTAAAAAAGAACAGGTCTGGTATTTACAATCACTCCTGCATCAGAGGGACCTCCTGAGCTCTGTACCTCCTCTCCTCCTCGCTCTCTACACTTCTTTTAGTAATGAGACTAATTTTTCCAGTAGCCTGAACTCCCTAGATTTAACCGACATGGAAAATGTGACTAAAAACTTGTAGAACTGTCTAGCCTCCAACCTCACACAGAATCAACTTTGTTGAAGAACACCTCGCAAGCAGCTACTTGCTCCTTTAGGCTCCGGCAACACAGGCAGAAAAGACCGAATGGCAGTGCGCCATCTAGTTAGCGAGTTGCACTCTCCATCCTAGAAGGGGGGACACCTTCAGACCCCGAGAGTTAACAACTTGTCAGGGCTCAGCTGCTCTAAAGGTCCAATTGTTTATTTAAATAATAAAAAAAATCGCTACTGAGATAATCCACATCTAGTCGATATGGGAAAATTTAGGTTATAATGGCACTACAAACTTTTACATCTAACTTTGATTTACAAGATAAAAGCAAGTTTTAAATTAAAAGGGCTTTCTGTTAATAGAGCTTATTATTCTGAAGACGGGAATGATTTTCTTCGAAAGTTGTCCCTGGGTGCATGCCTATTATCTTTGCTTTTCCCCTTCCACTAATGAGCATTTATCTAAAGAGCCTGTTAATCCTCTGATGTGTGCTTCTGGTCAGAGGTAACAGTTTGAATAAAACCACTAATCACTGATCACTAAATCACTGATCATTAATCACACTCTCCAATGATGGTGACCCAGGCCATTTTTTCCACTTTAGGTCTCTGCATCACAAACAAGAAGTTTAACATTTTGATGCATACATTGAGTTTGGGGGTTATTCTATTTCATCTCTAGATGTGAACAAGTAATAAATAATATCACTGAAAACTAAGCAAGGATGTCAATTAGACCCTTGTGAGGAGTTTCACAAATGCCTAGCCCACATCATAACTTTCACTTTGAAGAAAGTAGATCTGATTATTTAAAAAAAAAAAAGTGTTCTTCAAGAAATTCCCACATACTCAGAATATAAATTTCCTTTATTGAGCTTTCATCAACTACAAATCAGAGCCCCCAAATCACTTGCTCCCCTCTATTCATCCAGCTAGTTCATTTTTTAATTTGATGTTTGCTACACACTCTTCCCCTCCTCTCCTTAGTCCCCCTTATTTGTACTTCTATCCTAGACTTGTCAGTGTTTTTACTTCAACTGCCAGATGCGGAGATTCTGACTCAATTCAATGAGTTGAATATTTAACTTCCTCCTTAAATACAGAAACTTACAGTTAAGAACAAGAAAGTAAACACGCACCAATTTATTGTCTGCTACTTTGGGTTCAACTACTACTGATCTCTTACTCTGTAAATGAAACGTTTAATCTTGGGCCTCTCAGCTAAATTTGATTTAGTCAGCATCTTCACCTCTTCATCTTCCCGCTTCAGCAAAACTGATCAAGGAAGGCGCTTGTAAAATTAAGAACTTTGTTTGCAGAGGGTGTGTTGTTTGCCTAAATCACCACAGGGACACCCTTACAGAATTATGGAAACCTCTCCAAACATTTCCTGAAATGCCTTTTCTATTGGGGCTGAGCATTTTCGCCCTGGGGAAGGGACGTATTGGTGTCTTTTCTTAAATAATAGAATAGGACAGATTGTGCATGCGCTGATCAGGTACTCCTTTCCCCTTAGACACCAGAAGCTCTTACCCACACTCTAGGGACCGTGATCGCCCTAGGGCAAGCTGTAAAAGGCGTAGGCGGGGCCCGGGTGATAACGATGTTGGGGTGGGGCGGGGTGTGGGGGTGAAGAAGAAGGCTTCAGAGTAAAGGAGGTGATAAAGATGCCCCGGGAATGTGGCAATTGTTCCACTCTGTTGGGGTTGGAGATGGAAAGCAGAGATGCTTTGTCAGCATTCTGAGTCTCCAACCCTTCAATATGAAGCTGTTAATCAAAAATTTACTGGCCTGCAGAATGACGTAATGAACCTGTAGCCGGCCTTTATTTCTTGACACACGTCAGACTGGGAGGGAAAAATAAAAATCAAATACACTCTGCAGAGTCTAACAACAAAATACACAAGCAGTCCACGCCAGTTCCTCGCCTTGAACAAGCATCAAAAGGGGGTAACACACATTCAGGGAAAGTTGGGAAGGAGTGTGAACAAGGTCTGCGGTTTTATCTACCAGACAACCCCACTCTCCTGCCTCCCGGGAAATTAAACTGTGGCAAAGAAGCAGGCTGCAGGCGGCAGGAGCAAACATCTCCCTGATTCCTTCTTGTCCTGCCCCTCTAAGAACTTCTTGAAAAGTTTAGATGGTTCAGTCGAGAATCTGTTGAAGAGGAAGGTTCTGTCGCCGGGTCCTGGGAGCTGCCGCCACGCCGCCGGGGCAAAAGCGGGAGCTGTCAATTGGGGCAGCGGCGCGGAAGAGACTATAATGCCAGCGAGAAAGGAACAGAGGCAGGAGGCCGCTGGAGGAGTGGATGCGACCACAGTCTCACAGTCTCGCGCCTTCAGTCCTTGGAGCAAAGTTAAGTGCCCTCCAAAGGCGACGTCCCTCCCCGGGCGCGCGCCCACCAGCAGTGGCAGAAAGCCCTGCAGGGGAAGTGGCAGCAGCAGGGTCGGCACCCAGGAAAGAGCGAGCCCCGCACGCCCGCCTGCCCGCCCGTCCCCTAGGTGACCCGGCGTCCTCGCCGTGCCCGCTGGAAGTTTGCAAACTTTCTCCGGGGGTTCCGCCGCATCACTGGGAAGTTGGGGGCGCGGAGGGGAGGATCCTGGCTCGCCGTCTCCGCTGGCCGCTGCTGCCACCGCTTGACTGCACTTCTGGAGGGTTCCGCACCTTGCCAGGTCTCTGGAGGCAAACACACACCCCCGATTCATAACTGTTTCCCGTGTCAGGGAATCACACGCGCGCTCCTACACACGCACGCACGCCGAGGCGGACACAGCGCTCGCTCCACATTAGCATCCCTCCAGTCGCACGGCGCGGCGGCCACCGAGTCGCGCTCCGGGACAGACGCGGCGTGGGGTCTCTGGGGTGGCCTCAAGACACAGCCGAATTCCACAGTCCACCAGCAATTGAGGTCGGACTTCCCTCTGATACACCAAAGTGTTTACAAACACAGATCACCCTCCAAAAAATGCATCGCATCTTCCCTACTCCTTGCCCTGTGATCTGCCCCCTGGACCAAGTAACCTCGCGGCAGCTGCCGAGAACCAACCCCTGCAAACAAGTACGCTACCGAGATGGCTCCCGTGGCAAGTGCAACGAAAGTGGCTAAATGCAAAAGCCCCAGAAATGACCCAGCCGTATTTTTAGGAACTTACCAAACAAGTGTGGAGAAGGCAAGAGCGGAGCCCGGGTGAAGGGACCACGTTGGACTGAGCAAAGATTACAATACATTCTATTTAGAGTGCATTACATCACCCCCCGTGACGTCACGTGGGATTCCTGAACTTCTAAATCATTGCGGTCTGCGGGGGAGGGAT